TGGAACACTTCTCTTGTACTCACTTTTTGCATAGTAAGAAATTATCCTAATTCTAAATTGGGATTGGGGGAGACGTAGCTATAGCGAGGACGATTGGCGAACTTCTTAAACAATTTGTTAAACAATTTTTCTTATCGCTTTACTTGCTTTATTTTTATTAAACAATTTATCAAATAGCATTGATTAAACGATCGTGTATATTTTTATTTTGAATTAGTTTTTGATTAGCTTATAATTACTTTTGATTATAAGTGATTTTTTATATCAACACGACTCAAAGGAAAATTCTGAAAATTTGGTCGCACACCAAGTGTTTGATAAATTCCATAGTTTGTTATTTTTGCTAGTTACCATTGAAAATAGTATTGCTAGTAACTTGCTAAAAACGAATAATATTGTGTTACTTGATTCAAGTTTATAAATTTGATTATTGTATTGTCCATTCCATAAGGCACTTTATTTTGCATATCCTAGTTCCAGTAGCTAGGTTCGTATAGACGATATTTTTGATTTGTATTAAAACCTCTCGCGTGCACTTTTTTCAAATACTTTTAAAAACCAAATTTTATTTGGATAAGGCGCTGTCGTCTAACAAGTACTAATGATGGGCTCTCATGCTGGAGCATCGGGCAAGATATCTTTCCATTTTAAGTGAGATTTTGTGTTAGTAGTTTCTTATATATCATGTAGTAACTGTTAATTATTTATATTGTGCATGACTAAGTATGTGAATATTTGCATGCTAGTAATTATTAGTTGGTAGGTTGTATGATATTAACTATGGGTTGACTGTGTACATGCATAACTAAGTTTGTGAATGATTTCATGATGGATTGTATTGTTTGTTTGGTTTGGAGAAATTGATGTTGTGTGTAAGCATTTGAATGTTGTTGATGCTATTGATTTCTATTGTTGGTGTTGGTGCTTGAATATAATAATTGGAAGAATCTTGTTGCTGTTGATTGTATGCTCTGATAGACCAATGATCATACTGGTTGTCACTTGTTGTCTTCTGAATAAGTGGTATATCTTGAAGAGTTGTTTTTCCATAATTTTCTAAATGGGAAGACTGAAGTTCCTCTTGAATTAGCTCTTTGGATTGATTGCATTATGCAAAACAAAAACAAGGAGAAGTGTTCAAAGTTCAAGATTATCTAGATTTCTTAAGTTATATGGAGGTGTGGAAGGGACACATGATGGACACGATGTCCCAACATGTTGGTACGACATATGGGCCTTGCGCAACAAGTCATTACTATTGCATTTTGAATATTCTCTGGTCAAATATTGAATATGATTTTATTCCTATTGATTTAACAATATGATTAGGTGATTTATTTGACAACTGGAAGAAGATTAATTCAGATTTAAATGGAGATTTAAATTTAAATTTGAATTGAAACAATTTTTGGAAAGATTTATATAACAAATAATATCTAACAGATTCTGCATCATTTCTGAACGAAATCAAATCAAATATCCATGAAGAAAAGTCCAAAATTATTGTACTAAGGTTGAACAGAAAAAAGTGTAATTGACCCAAATCGTCCAACCCATCAGGCCCACATGATTTTGGTTTGGGTGGGCCTATTTATTAGGTTACCGAGTCAATGATCATTGGTTTTGAATGAATTTAGATGGTTCGGTTCAAATGATTGGTTTGAACCCTTAGAATACCTAATCCGACCGGCCCAATAGCTATAGTCTAAATTATTATTTTAAGGTCTGGACAGGTGGAAGTTGGCTCAAACACAAAAAGATCAAAACCATTTTTCCTTCGACACTTCACTTATTCTCATTCTCATGTGTGGTATCTAGGGTTTCGCTTTAGTTTTAGTTTTAGATAACACTTCACCACCACCATACCATTCCATCTTCAATCTACACCAACACACAACAACACGGTTCCATCTTGTTGCCGCCGCACCACCACCACCATGATGCCACCATTTTCAGATCACATAAGTTTCCTTCTTTTTTTTGTCTTCTCTCTCTGAAACAACAGTAACAACTTAAGCTTCAATTTTTAAAGTTGGAATCGTTGTTGTTATTCTTCTTCTTCTGTTGTTTAACAATGGATTGATAAAAATTGGAATCTTTGTCCTTTAAAGAAAAATATTTGTTGTATACAATTTTTTACTCTTTCATTGTGCTGCTTCTTCTTTTTCTCTGTTGAGTTTCATCCATTTGCGTGAATCTTTGTTTTGTTGTTCTGAAATGAAATATTTTTGTGTTTTGTATTTTGTGTTTTTAATTCTCTCTGTTTTTGTGTTTCTGATTGAAGATGTGATAACAGTTAATTCAAATATTTGTTGTTTGTATTATGTAATTGTAGTTTATGAACTGTTAGTAACCAGTACAACCAAATGGTTGTTGATTATTGCCTCTATTTCAATGTTGTGATAACTTGCTTCTATTTGAACTATCTTACTGATTGTTACATCTATCTTGCTGATTATTGCCTCTATTTGAATTGTTAGTAGCTTGCTATAAAAAATTCCATTGTATAGTTGCTAACTCTATGGGATTTTGTATATTTGAAGATGGAGCATGAAGGAGGTAGCTTGGAGGGGGATGGTATCTTGCATGGAGTTGAAGATGCTAACTTTATGCTTTTTTTTTTACAACTTAAATATTTAATGTCCTACAAAGTTCTTATATTAAAATGAATAATTTAATTGGTTGCATGGTGTTAGTTTTTGGGTTGCAAGGTCTCATCTCAAGGAATTGTGCGTTTTATTATTGCCTGCTACTCCCTCCATTCCTATTTATAAGAAAATTTTTACTTTTTAGATTCATTGAATAATTGATGTATCTAACTTATATATGGACCAAATACATAATTTATTCAATGAATCTAAAAATTTAATTTTTTTTCTTATAAATAGGAGTGGAGGGAGTATTTAACTAGTTATTGGGATTAGTCACGCATCTTGGGTTTCCTTGCCACTTTTAATTTGCAATAGTATAGGGTGATTGTAATATATCGAAGTTTAAAATTTAGATACTATTAGAACTACCATAAATGCTTGAATGATTGATAGGTTGTGTTGTGATTTATAATTTGATGAAAGTTGATTCGGATGGCTGTAAATCAGTTTGTATGGTTGTAAAATAGTGTTAAATTGGGTCATTGATTATATTTGAAGAACCAAAATATTTATTTAATATTTTATTTATTTAACAAAAATTCAGTTACTTTTTAATTTTTCATGAGAAATTTTAATATCAATTAATCGAATAAACTGATCTATTTAAGCCGATGAACTAATTAAACTGAATCAGGTCAAATTGATTGAAAATTTAGTCGAAATTGGGTCTAATAATTGTATCCATGGTTTCAAATAGTTGGACATAATGGATCCGAGTCCAACCTAAACCGACTGACGTACAACCTTAATTATGCTATATAAAGAGCTCAAACCTACATTTGAATTTAAGCATTCACATTCAAGATTTTAGAGTGATAGGTTTACAAGAGTCCTTGTTATTTTTATGTACACCACATTATGTTTCAGTAACCTGGTATAGTTGTAGGTTTGTCTAGTTGAGTTGTAAGATTTAACATCACTCATAGTTGTGATTGAAGTTGATCACTAAGGTTTAGTGGTTGTATTCCAAACACGAAGAGTTGGTGTTTGAGAGAAAGTGAATGGGTGTCTCATATTTAAGGGAAGTCCAAAATAGAAAGTCATTGGATAGTGTTAGGAAAATGCATTGAATAACATACAGTTTGTTGTTGCTTGTAAGACTAGTCGTACTAAGCTACTAATAGTTAGTTTCCTTTCTTGGATTGGAAGTTAACCTTCCATACATAGGTGCGGATTGCACCAAACTAGGTTACCAATTGATTGTGTTTTTATTGTTATTCTGCTCCATCATCTTATACAAGTTAACTATGGTGACTCTGGTTTAACTTGGCATACTAGTTTCTAGAACATCACGTGCAACATTTGTCCCTTGAGGAATAGAATTTTAAATAGCCTTAACAGTAAATAAGGCAACATGAGTTATAGAAGGAGATGTGGCAGTCCAACAACGAGATCAAGTTTCAGTCCCTGAGTAGAGGAAATAACATATAGCTTTTGCAAACCGTCCATTTTATCTGCAAAGTAAAAACACACATGTACAAAAAACCTCCCATCACCAATGATCTCTTTCCTCTTCATGCGTCCGACCACACTCACAGTAGAGAAAATATCAATAGATTTCTTTCTCTGCAAGAAAGACTACACTTCACTAGGTACGAACCTATCTTCATAACCCAACCCCTAGTATAGAGACTTCTGATCCTTCCTCACCATAACTTTTTTGGCAAAGAGGGAATTTAGTTTGATGTTGTAAGAATAACGCTCAGAGTAGAAATATGGCTAAGACCTGTATTTTAGAAATATGCTTTTGCAATAACGATAACATTCAAAAGGGCTATAGTATAAGGCAAAGTGAGACTCCTGAATACGAGGCTTCACTGGCACTAAGTGCCTTATAAAATCGCCACAATCCTCATTGAAGGGGCCAAGTCAGTGAAGGTTTTAGTAAGGATGTACAACATGGAACAAGTTGAAGAACAGCCGAGGAGAAGGTTTTCAAGACCTATACTCGACCCAAAATTTGAACATCTTTTTGTAGGCCACATGAGCCCGACATAAGCTGAGAGGGGGAAACCTTCAAGTACTTCAACACTGCCACCTTAAATTCAGACTGGGGAAGTCAATCATTTATCCTGTTAAACAAACACTCATAAAAGGGGACTTAACACCCTTCAAAGGTGTTGCATACCCTTTTCTCTGGACCCACCAGAAGAACTGACCAATAAGAAGGGTTTCCATTGTAATGTCGGTCGCGTCTACGGCCACATGGGTATTTAAAATAGAGGAGGTCCCCACAATCTCTGTATCCACCTAGTTATATTTACTCGCATCAGTCGACTCTACCAAAGTGGCCCCTTTTAGGGATAGTTCATCGACCTTAAAATACTCTGAGGGTTTAAACTAGCAAACTTAATCTGGACGGGCCCCACACTCCAAATGATCCTTGATATCAGTATCGCTAGGGTCTTGCTTATAAGATTTTTGGTAGAACTTGGCGTAATCTCTAGCACACTCCCTTCTCAGGCTAGCAGCCTTTATTTCCATAGTCACTTAAGCAGAAGAAGCCAAAGTTTATACATCGTGAAAAGAAGGGGACATGGAAGTGGCCACATGATTACCCTCAACATTATCATCAAAGAACAAAGCATTGAAAGAAGAATCCCTAGAAGAAGCTCCCTCATCTGAAGATCCCATATAGAGCCTTTCTGCATCAGAATCATCAATTATAGATATAACCTTATGACTCATGCAGTCATATATAAAAGGGGATGGATTTGAACTAGAAGATACTCTTGTTCTCACCACAAGAGACTTGTCACTCTCATAATCACTAAGCAAGCTTATGAAACTATCACTCATATTAACTGAGACAAAGGAAATGCAAACGATATTAAAGCTTGAGGTAAGGATGGTACCTAGTGAAGCAGAAGCTGGCAAGAAAACAAATTGTAATGGGGAGGAGTTAAGCTTTGAGAAAGGAACTGTTATTACTCTAGTAAGTACCCTTGAGAAAGAAAAGAGAAATGTACTCAGAAATAGAAACTGGCTCTCAAAGATTGTGAAAAGTTCCCAGAATAATCAAAAACCCATATTTATACGTGAAGGCAAGCAACAATTCAGATTAACGGAAGAGAGAGATTACAAAATCTATTGTTGGTTTCTTCATAGGGAACCTCAAGCCACGCGTCACGGAAGAGCACCAGAACGTTCCAATGATGGAAAGACATTTAATGTGTTTGTTCCCCCACTACTTTTACTACTGATCAAATGTGTTTCTACTTCTGACAAAAAATAAATGACATCCTTTAAGGTCGAGCACAACTTCTAAGACTTATGCAGCTAATAATTGCCCGGAAGCCTTATGGGCAAGTGTTTTGGACCGACCAAAAGTTCAAAAAGTAAAGGCTCAATCTGATGCCAATTGACTCCAAATGACCCAACATATAAAAGCCTTCACACACGATACTCAATATACACTTTTCTTATCTTCATTTTTACTACACTCAATTTGAATTATGAATTGACTTGAACATTAAAGTGTTAATCTTGCAAGTCCATCTCACATCCATGTATCGGAGATTAACACCACCGATTCAAGATTCATCACACCAACATACACCAATTCTGATTCCAAATAGTGGAGAGTGGTTTTACCCTTTGACACATTCCTACAGTTGACTGGTGATTGATTGGTTCCAAATAGTGGGGAGTGGTTCTCCCCTTTGACTTATTCCTACAACCATCTAGTGATTAGACACCTCATTAATCGAGTAAGGTGAATGAATGGATCACCCTAAACAGCTGACGTATTGCCATATTATTGAGCAGCCTCTTGACCCATTTTGAGCAGTCTCTTGGTGCTTAGGACCCAATAAAATTATATCAATATAATATATATATATATATATATATATATATATATATATATATATATAATATTTTTAACTATTTTTTTTATAAGTTTAAAAATATTTCTTTTTATAACATTTCATTTTTTTTTCTATACAAATTTTTTTTAATAAATGGTAAAAAATATTTTTAACAAACAATACTTATTGGTACTTTTGAAAATGACAATTAAAAGAACTTTTAAAAAATTACTTTCAAACATAAATGTTTTGATGCATGTAATATGAATTTCAACAAGTCAATTTTTTTCATATAGTAATCAAATTCAGTCTCTAGTTAAAACATGCAATGACTAAAAAAATATATTAGAATGTTAAGAAAGGGGGGGAAATACCAATAATTAAGTCCTCATATGACATCCTATTTATGCATTCATCATAAAGTACTAATAATTAAGTTTCGTGACAACACAAAAAAGTGACATATAATCTAAGTGCAAAGCACAACATTAAAACTTACATCCAAATACTAAAAACAGAACCTAAAACCATTACAAACAAAACCCATTTCTGAACAGACATTTGAATGGAAGAAGATGGAGGAGGAGGAGGAGTATCACACAAGTTATATCCATACCATACATCTTTAGGAATGGAGGTGTTAAAAGTAAAAGTAACAGGATCTGAATTGTATCCATAGATTTTCACACTTTCTGGCTTCCAACCATAGTCATCTGATGAACCTTTTCTGTATAGATAGAGTGAACAAATTGGTGATACACATGGACCATCTATTTGAAATGAATCTGATGCACATTGCTCGAATGTTCTTGAAAGTGAATCGTCTAGTTTTGCTGCGTATACCTGATGATGAATAGTTTTGGAAATAATTAACAACAAAAATTGGTACTTACATTGTTTTAATTAAGTTTCCTTAAACATAGGACTAGGGTTTTAAATAAATGTTGGGTAAAAGCTTTTGTGATTTCTATCGGTACTGCAAGGGTGTTTGCGGAACGGTTTGAGTGGATTTTAAAGAAAAAACTAATTCAATTTAAAATTAGAATTATTTGCAGTTCTATTCGATTTTAGTTTTAAAAAAATTGATTTGATTCGATTCAATTTCATATAATTTTATTTTAATTAATTTTTATATTTAAATTACAAATTATAATTTTTTATTAATAATAATATAATAAAATAGTTTAAAATAATAAGTTAAAGTAATATACAATATTTAATATATTAAAATCATAGAGAAAAAGATATCCACGTGTAAAATAATTTTGCATTATCAATCAATTACAATCGTATTAAGTGTCAAATTCTATTATTATTTTTAAATAAATTATAACATACGTCTAAATAACAAATTTTTATTGGATACTTGGTTAGTATACTATCTTTTAACTCTTAAAATCGTAAAATAAGATAATTTTTTTAAACAAATAAAATATTAAAAATAAATAGACAAATTAAATCTTAAATAGTACTAAAACAAATTAAATATCAATAAATAATAATTAATTAAATATATCATTCTAATATAAATTGACTAATATATAAAAAATAAATAAGTATTAAAATATATTGATGCAGTTCAATTAAAATTATCATGTAAGAAGGAGGTTCTAGCTCAGAACTTCTGAGCACCTATATTGGAAATTTCCAACTAACTAAAATATAAAATATAAAATAAAAATAAAAATAAAAATAAAAAGGAAACGTAAAAGCAAAACCTGGTTTCCATTAGCATCTCCAAAAGCAATACTGATCTCATCAATATTAAACTTTGGAGAAGAACAGCTTGTTGTAATCATCACCAAATAAGAACAGTTTTGAGCACCTTTCATCTATTAACCAAACATAAAAACAAAAACAACATTGTTCTTCACATCACAATAAAATAAAATAAAATAAAATAAGAAATTTATTTATCTATTTAAAAAACAAACTAATTAAATTTAAAAGTACCTGGATATAACCAACATCAAAGGAATCTAAAGCATGAGGTTGCAAAGAAACATCATAGGACTCACAAACTGAAAGGATAAGTGCAGAGGCAAAGAAAAACAAAAGAACCATTTTCATCATTTTTCTTAGGAAAAATCTTGAAAATAGAGTCAAGTGCTTGTAAATTTTGTGAAACTAGTGAAGTAAGATATTTATATGCTTCACGGAATAAGGGTTGGTTTAGAAAAATAATTAAATATCTAAAGACGGAAAAAAAGGGTAAATGTGATGTAACTTGTCCTTGTCTAGTTTTCTATGTTAATATTTTACTTGTTGTACATTTCCTTGTGGTACACGAGTTTCATTATTAAATTGAACTTATTGAAATAAGTGAAAAAATTAATTGTGATGAAAATTTATGTGCTTTTTCTTTTAAGACATCGAGGATCAAGACAAATGGTTAAGATTAAAGCTATGTATACACTAATATTCTCATCGAAGGTCGACACTATCCAAGTCCAATGAGACTAGGGCTTTATGTTTTTGGGTTTTTAAGATGGGCCTCTAAAACTCTCAATGTGGAAATTTATTTCCACCTCCATATCTTCTTACAAATTCTTGTTATGAGTAAGACATCTCTATTATATTTAATTTTAGTTTGGAGTTACATCTACAATGGATATTTGGTATTATTTTAAATATTTTAGTTTGGAGTTACATCTATAAATGGATAGTCTGGAATTCAAAACATAAACGGAGATAATATGAATAAGATCTAGAAATCACAACAATTTGATATTAAATTAAAACTCTCAACATTACTTAGATAACATAAATTTAACATTACATGTCATTATAAATAGATAGTTCAGAACGTTGCAACATACTGATACTTCCACTTTAATCGGACCTTTTGATATATAATGACGAAAAGTACTCCACATAACTTTTAAATCTTCATTCGTCTTCAATTCAAAGTTGGTGAACTATATCTTCCATTCGCTGTCAAACGAGGGTTAAAGATACTTGAGTTTGACAAGTCTTCAATTTTTTGAATATCGCAAGAGAGTATTCAGTTTATATATCAGATCAGCGAGAGGTGTACCCTCGGTGACCCTAAATTAAAGTGGCGGTTTCGCGCCATTGAAATACACAAATGTAAGATGGAGATATGTATTCATTCTCTGATTGCGGTGTATTTTGTAAAAAAAATATGGGATGGGAGACATCCTGTTTGTACAAGTTTTGAATCACTTTGAACCTTAGAAATCATATCATGTCACCGGGGCACTTTTCAAATATGCATATCCGGATAAACCCTATTTTTTTATGAAAAAATGGTGTTTACGGATATGCACATTTGTAAAGTGACATGTTGTGTTTTTTTTTTAATATTTAGTATGAGATGTAGGGGTGGAAAATGGACCCGGACCGTTGGACATGCTCGTTTTGCCCGCACGTTAGGCCCTCACCCTCTAATGTGTCTGTCGTGTTTTCTGTTACACCCCATTTCTACCCAACAAATTATATAAAGTCAGAGTTTCAAAATTTCCAACAAACAAATGGAGTGCTACACTTTCAACTTGGAAACAACGATATTCAATCGTCTATAGTTCAGATACATAACACATAAAATTCGGATGACCCAATAACAACTTGTTTAGTCTTTAACAATAAAATAACTTTCGTAATTAAGCAGCAGAATTACAAAGTTTAACTCAAATGACATAACATCTTTTTCCAACTGAAAACAACTTCAAATCAATAAGTACTTAACGAAAACAACTTAAAATTCAGCAACAGAAGTAAAATCAATAATAAAGCAACAAGCGTTCATCCCCCCGAGTGTTAGGTATCAGAGCAACGACACCGACTCGAACCACTGAAGGTAAACAACCTTCACTCTAGATTACATGCACGTTACCGACATAGGACAATATTCAAATAGAAGGGGTGAGATATCAAACAATATAATAGGATGCATGATAAATAATACATTAGAATAAGTTCCTACAAAATCACCACTTCACAGCTCTTTAACAATATTAATTCATCCATACAACAACTCAGGATGCAACATGAATGGGACTTGTTTTTATGCACATGCATGTGGTACCAACAGAGCAAAACTCCCAACTTAATAATCTGCCAATTAATAGATGCATCAGCAAGACATAAGCCTTCAACTTTATATTTGCCAATCCAGGCCAACTTACTGAGCATGAGCTCCCAACTTGATATGTTTTGTATGCGACAACAATATGAATGTAGTAACAACAACAATAATTCATCAAACTCAACATAATTCAACATTAGCCATAAGCCTACAACTCAATATTTGTCAATAATTAGAGGCATCTTAACAAAATTTATCATCACCTGCAAATTCTTAAATTACAGTAAAGTATACAATACACTGTATCAACCAAAATATACTATTATGTCCTGCATAATTATTCGGATAATTCGAATATATATCGCTAGTCACTTATTAATTATGTTATCCTCCTGCTACTAACTTATTTTGACTATAATTCATTTAATCATATAGGGATAGAATATTCTTGAGAATTCTAATTGTTATACCAAGATTATTAAACTAATTTAAATAACTAAAATAGCCTGCACGAAATAACAGTAGGGACCTTAATAACGATGTGTACCCCTCGACATAGTGGCCATATCGCTCGGTACTTTCCCTTCACGCCTCTGTATCGGCCGACACCTCATATTTCTCGACACATAGTGCAACCTTTTGTTGCTCGACACAACCACTTATTTTCCTCAGCGACCTTGCAGCCTTGTGCCGCTCGAAACCTACCACATATGCTCCTCGGCACATCTTAAAGCCTTATGCTGCTCGACGCAAATACTTGTTCTCCTCGGCACAACGCACCTTCGCATTATTGCACAGATTTCGTCCATTCTGTGACGAACATTAACCCAGCATTACTCTATTCTCTTCGACCATTAATTTCTGACCAACCACACGGAATAACATAGCAATAGGATAAATATATCTCCTAAACGATCACAACGTAAAATGGGCAACTTTCAAGAATAAGTCCAGAACAATCAACGCACAACAACTATACCTACGGCCAACCCCTACACAATATTCATTAATAGTCTCATTATAAGGTCAGAACCCCGCCCTTACCTTCGATTGAAGGTCGCCCGACGGCTTTGACCGGAACCTTTCTTCCCTTCTTCTCCTTATTCCTTTGCTCTGCACTTCTCACAACCAGCACACCAAGACTTGTTTTATTCCAATTTACCTAATTATTCATTTAAGTAAAACCTCACATTAATATTCTTCTTAATGGGCTCACAACACACCCCCTGTATTACTACTTTCAACCAATAAAATAGGCCCAACATAATTATTTTAGTATTCCACTAATTCTAGCATTATTACTATTATTAATCAATTATTTAATTAACTAGTAATAATCTAGCAACTTATGCCAACAATTCACAACATCTTACAACTTCAACGAATAATTTCAAAAATAATTAATTAATTAACGGACGTTACATTTTCTATGCGGGATTTTGCGGGTACGTGCATTTTTATAAATTTGTGTTTTTAGGCTTAAAAGGTACAGTGCCCGTGGGATTTCTCCACCCCGCCCTCACTTTTTTTGCAGGGAGGGGATATGTTTTAGGCCCGCATGCTCAACAATTCCTACCCCTCCCCGCCCCATTTTTTATGGGCTTTTGTAGGGTGGGCCTAAACAGGGCGGCCATGCCCGTTTGTCACCCCTAATAAGATGTATCCGAATAGGCATATCCGGAATCACCCCTGAACCAAAAAGAGAGCAGAAACTATGTAAACATAAATAGAAGATGTAAACCATAAAATTTGTAAACAGAAACAGTTGACGTTTACGTCATCATTGCTGAATATATATTGCTTATGTATTAAATCATATCAAGATTACATAGTTGATGATAATACATTCAAAAAGTGTATCGATTATAATCTAAAATGAACCAAAAGACGCATCACCACATAAATCTATTATCGTTTCGTCCTTCGACTTTTCCTTATTTGATTCCCTTTCAAGGTCGCTCAATTTAGCGAACTCTTCCATCCTTTCCAGAAAGTGATCCAACTAAGTTTCTGTCTCTTTTGTGGAATGTGTTGTCCAATCCAATGATGTATAGGACACCCTGGTTTCAAATAAACCTCAACAAAATATGGAGATTTTGAAAGCCACCTAATCCATATGATTCATCCAAATGGATCTTGAGGTAGGTCACTCCGAAGTAGAAAAAATGTCTCTGAGAAGTCATATCTTGTCAGATCAATACACACCATGTTATATGCATTGGCTATATGATGGCCTGTTTTAGGAAAACACGTTCATTTTGACTCCGGTATGGGACCTCTAACACAAGGAGTAAGAGCATCGTGAATTGCATCAAAATATTCTTTTTCCTCGTATAATATGTGCAGAAATCCATTTGCATCGTCAACTCTTTCAAAAGTTGTTGGCGAACAAGAAAATGATTCTCTTCTCCTCTATTGAGCAAGTCAGATATAACCCGGTAAACTTAATTACCATCATCGTTAACATTTACAATCTGCTCAATGTGTTTAAGCATAAAAAGCGGCATTTCTTCCATGAAGATTATTTTCGGCATCGGTAGTGAATGAGGTGGTTTGCTAATGTGAGCACCCTTGTAAACACTTTTTGAGATTTTAGAGTTGGATAATCTGAGAAATATGAATCAACATGTTCAAAGTATGAAGGAGACCGCTTCGTCGAATTGTCGTCTTGTATCAGTTTGACCTTTTTAATGACACATTTGGTTTTAACCGATTCTAAATAAGGTTTCAAATATGTGTTTTATGGATAAGAAATCTTCCTGGATTGATAATTGATTTACAATTTTATGGTGTCATCTACTTTAGAAAATCTATCTTGGATTCACTATTACAAAACGTGCATACAGCAACACCCAAGTCACCATGGTTCTTTCAAATACCGTGGTGATATCTCTAAACTCATGCGCTAACATTTTTAATTTTTTAATTAAAAATTGTTAGGATATAATAAAGGTTAGTGACCATACAGTGGTGATACAATCAAACTTTCATGGGTTCGAACCTCATGGCCCTCAAAAAATTAATT